CATCCATCCATCCCTGCTTTTCATTTCCAGGTCACTGGTGTCCAGCAGTCGCTGTGCAACAGGTGGAGGACAACCAGGCCAGGTCGCAAGTCCATGTGGACACAGAGACAAACAACCATTCACACGCTCATTCACACCCAGGGACGTTTTAGAGTTACCAATTAACCTAACGCATTGGGTTCCTCTGGAGAACCCAGAGAAAACCCACACATGCACGGGGGAGAACATGCAACCTAAAAGACCTGGACAGCGGGAGCCCATTGTCTCTTATAATAGAGTCGTAAACTAAGATCATCTTATGTTGTGAGYGGATGGGGTTATGTCCATTTTGGTCAAACCTTGTAATTTACAAAATGAAAAATTTACTCTATTGAAAGATCTGTTGACAGGTGAGTTAACACCAACAGTTAATGGCAAAGGTTTAAGAACAGAGCACCATTAGTTAGAGCTCACGTGTTGGGGAAAACTGACCTACYACCACACCAAACTGTGCCTCAATATCTGTAAGATTCACTGAATTATAGTCCATTTTGAATGGGGTTGACTCCAGAAATGAATCAGTTGTAGATGTATAACGTTTTGAGAGCTTCTTTAAAATCTCTTAACTGGTTCATGAGATATTTTGCTCATATTTCAAACACACATACATGGGTATTTGGCAGCAGGTGATAATCAATTTGAGTAAATCGCTGCACATTCATGAAGTCATTGGTTAGATAAATGTTGCAGTTAGGTTTAGTGCAGTAACAAATCATTAAACAGAAATCTGCAAACACTTAACTAGGTGACTTAGGTAGGAAAGTATTTTTTTTTTCATTTGTGTACTCTAGTCCAAGTTTAATTGCCTAACTCATTTCTGTCTGCTGGGTTTAATTGCATTTTTGTGGCTCACCAACCTAAGAGTCCATTGATCAAAACAGAAACCCTACATTACACTTTTTACTATGATAACTCTAATCCAAAGTCGTCTAGAAAACAGCATAAAAGGCAACAGAGCCAAGAGATTTTCTCTCCTATCCATAGGTCCACTGGAACCGCCTAAAGGCTGAGTCATATAAAGGGTTATATTTGTTCCAGTAATGTTTTATATAGTAAGTTTAGGACAGAAGATGTTTTATTTGGCCTGTTAGAGACTAACATGGTTCTACAAAAAAGCAGTGATGTCAGTATGAGGATTATATACACAATTAATAGATATTTGCTACTTTAAATGTTCCGATCAGACCAATCAGCCCTCATCGTTTTGAGCTATCAAGGAAACTTGAACTTTAACTTGTGTTTTTTATGGAAACCCTGAGTCTAAACAGACAAATGAAGAAAAGGATGATTATTAACACAAACCATTTGCTAAGCTAAGAGAGCCAATAAAACGTTTTCCCCAATTTTGTAACTCTGTTGCTACTTATCATTACCATCCTTTAAAGTTCAACCTGAATTGTTTCCCCAGCATGTGTATCTACTAAAGCTTGTCAGGACTTCAGGTGACTAGCCGGTACAAGCTATCTGAAAGAGACATTTAAAAATATGGTCATAAAAACGCCTGAAATGCTGTTTTTCCTGATCCGCAGACCCCTTTTCCCCACTATAAACTCTGGACTTACAGATCATTCAAAAGCCGCTGGCACTGCAACAATTAACCCCAAACCACAAACTAGTAAAACCTCCTTCAGCTTTGCCAAAATGAAAATTCTATCCGGGTGTGCCTCCATGCATCCATACACAAACACGCCCACATGCACATTCTGCTCTGCGTGATGTAAGCGATATCAGACGTGTCAGGGCTCGCACCTTTTAGCACCTCTCTTTGCGGGGACTTTCAGACTCTGCTCTTTTACTTTAAACAATATATATA